CAGCCAGGAGGTAGCACCGCCTAGGCTCAGTCTCCGAGCGAGACTGGGCGGTGCAACCTCCCCTGACAGGAGGTAGCACCGCCTGAGCTCGATCTTCGAGCTCTGGCAGGCGGTGCAACCGCCCCAGTCAGGAGGTGCAACCGCCTGAGCTCGGTCTTCGAGCTCTGGCAGAGAGGTGCAACCGCCCCTGACAGAGGTGGCACCGCCTAGAGGCTCAGTCTTCGAGCTTTGACAGGCGGTGCAACTGCCCCAATCAAGAGGTGCAACCGCCTGATCCCGGAATTCTGAGAATTGACAGTTTTGAGCTCCAAATTTGAACTGGGTTAGGGCCTATAAATACCCCACCCATTCAGCACTGAAAGAGCATAACTTACACTCGAAATCTTGATCTTTTTCTGTGATTCTTAGAGCTCAAAATTGTTGTCAAGGCCAAAAGTTCCCCCCCCTCTGTTCTTCAAAGTTTTGAGTTGTAAAGAGAGGAGAGAAAATTTCTGTAAGGGTTGTCTCCTAAGCCCGTCAAAAGGAGTGAAACTGTAAAAGGGTGGTTGGCCTTCGCCTATTGAAGGAAGGCCTCTAGTTGACGTCGGTGACCTCGTCGGTGGAGGAAGCCAAAAGTGGAGTAGGTCAAGATTGATCGAACCACTCTAAATCTCGGTTTGCATTTACTTTGAGCATTTTATCTTTACTGCAAACCTCCTAAGTAGCTACTGCCTTCTACGCTTTTTCGAACGAGTTTCTAAGTTCAGAGCTTTCCGAATCTGCGTTTAGACGTAAATCGGCTTTTTCGTACGATCATTACATTTCAGTTTACGTTTACGTTTTGATTTCAATCATAACTGCAAACTGCCTTCTGCGCATTTATAAAACGTATCTCAAAGTTCAGTATCTTTAAAATCGACATTTAGACGTAAACCGGTTTTATCGTACGAACGTCGCATTTCAGTTTGCGCTTGCATTCTGATTTTCATCATAAACTGCAAACCGCCTTCGTAGATTTACTTTAACGTCATCTCGCTTAATCTTAAGTTAAAGTAATCTTAGAATCGGCTTTTACATCGAAATCATTTTTATCAAACGAACGCAGCTTTCGATTTTAATAGTGAAAGATTTCCGCTACACTAATTCACCCCCACCCCCCCCCCCCCTCTTAGTGCTGGCGCTGCCCCTGCAACTGGGCGCCCCCGCGGGAGCCGCCGCCTCCACGGGTGGTTCTGCCCGTGAGGCAACGCCCGCAGGCGGTGCTACCTCGTCGAGCGGCTGCCCCTGCTGGGTTTTTGCCCGCGAGAGCAGCGGCCACAAGCGCCGCTGCCCTGCAGCGCGTCACCACGCGAGAGCAGCGCCCGCAGGCACCGCTACCCTTGCGGCTGCTGTTGCAGGCTGCCTGCCTGCACGCGGATGGCAATGCTGCCATCTGCGACGACAGCGAGGGCAGCAACAGATGCTATCCTTTTCCGCTTTTGCGTTAACAATTTTGACGTCAAAAGCTTCTCCAAAACACAACACACGTAGTTTAAAGCCAATCTATCGCACGAACAACCTGGCTCTGATACCAATGTTGGGAAAATCTTTGGGGGCGACATCACATGCGCAACGGAAGAACAAGAAAACAAAATCCCAGATTCCCAAAGAGATGTTCGTCGTTGTGCGAAGATTGGTGCGCAAAATCCGTGAAACTGAAAAACTGTGTTATAGAGTAGATTGTGTTACCTAGGGAGATCGTATATCCCTATTTCCTTGCAGATCCTTAGGAGAGGGTGAAGGAGGTCAAACGTCTTCCTCTCTAGCGGTGATCCACATAGTAGGGCTGCGACGACGCTCCTCAAAACTCCAGGCCTGCTCTGAGGTGGAGAGGGGAAGGAGAATCGGAGAGGCAAGCAAAGGCTCTAGCCTATGAGGCTCTGAATCCCTCCTATTTATAGAGGTCCCCTATCAAACCCTAATGGATCCTCCCCTAGTGGGTATTGGATCTACATCCAATAACCCAAGCCTTTTAGATTAGTGGATCTCTATCCAATAATCTCTCATGGGCTCTTATTGGATCTCATCCATGGGATCCAATAATCCAGGGACTTATTGGATATCCAATAAGATAAGGGCTTCGTCGGATATCTCATATCCGAACCTCTACTCATCGTAATGCCTACCATATGTGTGTGACCCTCTAGGCCCAATATCGAGCTGGCCGTGAGTCATACATGTCAGAACTCCTTCTAACTCAGTGAATTATTATCTCTGTAATAATTCACTCGACTCATTGACTACGGACGTACTATGCTACTACGCCGTAGTCCCTAGACGATACAGGGGAATCCAATTTATTGGACTTGTCTGTTCTCAGTTACCGTGTATCGAGCATGGTGCTGTCAGACCCATACGGTTTCTACTCGAGTCTCGCTCTAATCGGATTCTCCCGGAGAACTTTTTCTCTCTCAACCCAAATGACCCTGGCCAAGGATTTGTCTAAGTAAGAACACATGAGATATTCCTTTCATGACGTCGAGAGTGGATGATCCTCTATCGACACTCAATAGCCCTTGTAAGGTCGACTACCACTCCCAATGACCAGCTATACTAGATCTAGGACAGTCAAACCTATAAGTCTGGTATCAAAGAGTGGAGCACTCATACAAGACATCCTTGGTGTCTCAAGTCTAAGGACCAGATATACCACTAGGACTACGGAATCGTTGTCTGACAATAAGGCATCATCAACCATCTAGCATTCTGTAAGTGGATCAATCAGTGAACTCATTCTCCAATGAGCACCTGTACTATATCCCTAGTGTCCCTACACGAGCAGCTATGAGACCAGCTGCATCCATCATATGGACTGGTATATAGCACACCAGTCTGTCCGGTTATCACGATGTCCCTCTCGAGTAACCTATGACCTAGATTATTTAGGATATGTGTTTAAAGGTGAATCGATCTCATTTTCGTGATCTCATCACGATCCGATTCCCATTGCACAAATCCAAGGACATCACAATGTATATATGCATATATGCAATAGTTATAAAGTAATATATGCCAAAATATAATAAGCAAAAAAGATTTTGTATCAAGTCACATGTGTCATCACTCACGTGATTGACTTGCTGGGCACTTATGACTAGCAGTACCATTGCCTAGTCTGGTGGTACCACTACCTGACACACTATCATTGGGTAGTACCACCGCCCAGTCTGGCGGTACCACTGCCTGACAGCCTCGGAGACTGAGTTTTTAAGTTTTCCAACTCACAAGCGGTTCCATCGCCTGCTTTGGCAATGCCACTTGACCCAACTTTTGGATCACTGAATGAGCCTCCCAATAAGCCCAAATCAGTCCCAATTAAGGCCAAATTGGCTCCTAATTGAGTGAGCATGATTACACCAAAGGCTAACTCAATTAGCCCCTTAAACTATTTTGATTTTAGACAAACGATTACAAAGCATGAATGCTTTGTCCAACATGTCTTTGGTTTATTCGGCGCTCGTCCGATCCTTCGATGCATTGTCTTCTCCTTCGGCGTATTTCCCAATTGGTATGTTGACTCCCACAACTTCTGATCTCCTTAGTGCAATTTTCGATCCTTCGGCTCGATGTCTGAATTCATAGCACGAAGCCTTTTGCCGACACGCCGACCGATCCTTCGGTCCGACTCAAATCTTCTAACATGTTCACTCCGGCCTAATGTCTGATTTCTACTGCTTTAATCAATTTTTCTCTCCTTGATCAAAGCTAGTCCTTCGTTACTCAAAATGCAGATTATATCACAGACTCATCAATTGATTTCATCATCAAAATCCAAGATTCAACGGGAGAAAGTCTAAAAAGTTCCTACTGGAGTTGACTCTGGTTGTCATTTGAGAGTCCGGTTATAGAGAAATGCTATTCATGTATAGGTCGTGTTTGCCATCGTTCTCCTTGAAGGCTACATGAAGGCGACCAATGCGAGCGTCACTAGAGAGCTCCTCTGTTGCAGGAAGAGTAAAGAGGGAGGAGGCAACAGTAGACGTCGCCATGTCCAGGAGACAAGGATCCGCAGTAAAAGCAGCCAAGTCTAGGCGAAGGGGAGGCTTCCAAATGGACTTCTAGTGGCTGCCATGGTGTTGGAGAAGATCAAAGGCAATAGCCAAGACTTCGTGAATGAAATGACCACCATCAGTTGAATTCACCATATGAACATCATCCGGCATCTAGGCTTCTGCTGCGATGTGAACGTCATCCAACTTCTAGGCTTCTACTACGACGGCACACTCCAGGCTCTGATCTACGAAAGGTGTTGGCAACATGTTACAACCCAAGATTTCAGCAATATCTCTTTGATTTGCAAGGTCTTATTCACGAAAGGGCAATAGCATCTCTTGACAGGCGAAAAGGGGAGACGTCACTGCTCGTTGGAGCTGGTGCGATAGTGGTAGAGCTGGACTTTGGATGTCGTCTGATGGCTTCGCCATCGGAGCTACAGCTTAAAAGGCTAGTTGTTGGTAGCGCTGCACCTAAGCTTGATGGTGGATTTGACAATAGCTTCGGAGTTGAAGTTATTGGAGGATGTGCAGCAATCGGTGAAGAAGGAAGAATAATCCTTGCTCCAAGGCAGTAGAGCTATTATGATATCATGATAAGTTGAATTATAGTGATAAAAAACACTGAATGATTGAGTACATCTTTATTTGCTATCACTTTGATGACTCCATCTAAATCATACGTTATAATCATTTGAGATCGAGATTTTGAATGACAGCAACTTATCAATATGTAGCGATTTACTTGTTGGAGGCAGGTGGTCGGTCTTCTGCAATCATTCTACTGCCTCTACTTTCCACTGTGGCATCCCAGCAATCACTGTCCTGCACCCATCCACATATGGCCATTATAATGTATGAATCCGATAGTTGTGGATATGCTTTGCGAGATGGACCCACAAGAACCCAGTCACCCAAGCTGGAAACGCCACGTACGCTTCAGAAAACCACGGCAGGCGACCTTTAAAGGGCCAGCCTTCCCTCCTCCTCCATCGATTCTCACGATCTCTTTTGCTTCCTCCATTCTGAATCCATGGGGGAGTTTGCTGAGGGATTCGATTGCCTCGTGCCCTACCTCCGTTTCATGGAAATGGATCCCAACTTGGAGCTGACGAGGCAGCTCGCAGAGCTAAATGACTCCGTCACGGAGAAGCCAAGCCTGGGATTGACGGATTACTCCAGCGATTACTACTTACTCGACCACCCTGTGTTCTCGGTGCCGTTTATTGATGACTTGTCCAGCTTGTTGCCTGTAGAGTGTCAAGTGCCAATTCCGGAGCCGCAGCCTGTCACAGGCTCTTTTGCAGAGCAGACTCACGGAGACAGAAAAAGGAAGACGATGACATCACCTCATGCAAGATACGGGAACTATTCGGACGCCTTCTTAGAGGCTGGCCGGGCACAAGCTAAGACGAAGAAGCAGAAGAATGTATGTTTAATCGCACAATCTTGTGTTTGTTAGCTAATTGTTTGCTGATGTTGGGTACTTCGATTGCAGGGTGCAGAAAGTGGGGATAGAGGCCAAAGCAATTCAAGGGAAGTCGAGAAGCCCAAGGAGGTGGTTCATGTGAGGGCAAGAAGTGGCCAAGCCACTGATAGCCACAGCCTAGCTGAGCGGGTAAGGAAGTTGTAGGGGTACACTCAATAGATCCTGCTTCCTGAGTAGAATAATGCATAGTTATGTGTTTCTGAAAGATTTAACTGGATATAGCTTTCTGATGAGATACGACTATATTACACTGATATCAGGAGAGAAGGAAGAAGATCAATGAAAGAATGAAGCGTCTACAAAACCAGGTTCCTGGATGTCACAAGGTACTGGCTAGAACTGGTTCTTGTTCCAATAGTACAGCTACTAAGGTTCTGCTTATTTCTATTATATCCTGAGGCAACACCATGAATTTGCAGATGATGGGTATGGCACGGATGCTGGATCAGACCATTCACTACGTGCGATCACTGCAGAAGCAAGTCGAGGCAAGCGATTTCTCACCCTCTTCTCAGAAATCCATTGTTTTGCTTTTTAATCTTTTGCAGCTTTTACCTACAATTCTACTTCTTGGTGTTGATACAGTTTCTCTCGATGGAACTATCGGTTGCTAGCTATTTCTACGACTGCAGCTTGGGCGTGGAGGCTCCTGCAGCAACAGAGGTGACTCTTAGCAAGAGAGAACCCGAAATCTAGCTACGGAGTCTTCATGTGCAATGTTGTTATGTGAGGCATAGGAGCATGGACAAACCCTTGTCCTTATGCTGCCCAGATTAATAAAAAAGCATAGTAAGAAAACTGTTATGCTTCAGGAAATTTGGCAAAAACACAATTGAAGGTTGGAGAGGACAAGATTCTGACAGTCTTGTCATTTTTCAACTACATAAAGAATCCTATGCAGAAGGATTTCGACTGTCCCTCACATTAAGGTGATCGACAGCAATCACTGAATGCAAATTAATGGACTTACCAGTGTCGTGGGCCTTCACAACATGATAACCTTATCTGAGAGGTCACTGTTAAATCTTAGATTTGTGTTCCATGATCACCTTATCTGTACCTGAAGTGGAACGGATACAACACATTCTTTTATGGCCCCACAAACACCATTTAAGAGATAGGGGGCCCCGCATGGACAGTGATCAATCATGCTTTATGGACTGAATTTGTACATGGAGAATTACTTACAATCATACCACGTACGGTGTGATCCCAACTCCAAAACAAAAGGCTGCCAGAAGATGCATCTAAAATTGTATGGAGGATTTAGAACAGGCATCAACTACTCTTCTTCTAGAAAGCATAGTTTTAAAAGCATAGATCTGAGGGGTTATAAATATTACGAGACGGAGTCCAATCAAAGAAGGGATGGGGCAATAAAGTTCCCCATCCTGTTTTGCATTTTATAAAGAGATGAATCCGATCTTTGATGTCCATGGATACGCATGGTGATGATTGATGTACCTATGTTTATGATTAGAGTGAGGTGAATCATTGAAGGGATCATTCCTTTGTTTTCGTGTTTGCAGGCAGATAAAGCACAGAAAGGGCAAGAGGTAGAGAGACTGCGGAGGGAGGGGTATGGGGATCGCACCAGCTTCCACTCATCGGTGCCCTTTTGACCCAGCTTTCGGCTCTTTGGTGCTTCATCATGTCCATGGCCACATACACCGCCCCAGATCCAGTCCAAGAATTGTGTTCCCCGTAACCCATGCATGGCACACGTGCACACATGACCCATGTATATTTCCCTGCGCACATGTGTGGGGGCTCCCAGAAAAAACACAGACAACACCCAAACTGTTCTGTTCACTTTTTTCATGTACTCCTCTTCGTTTTCTTTTTCCCTTCTGTCATGTATCCAGAATTTCTTTGTTGTCATCCTTTAATAATATGCTGGTAATAACATGGACTAGTGTAACTATTTGATGATGATCCCATTTCTTTTTGAGTATAGAGGGGCATGACTGTGAACCTGGACCTACCAAATGAATGAATCATCTGAAGCCAGAACCAATCCGTGAAGGCTGCGACTCAGGTCAAAGCGTGTTAACATAATACCTCGTTCTACACAAAGTGCCATCCAAAACTGAGGTCTCCATCACTCATGGGCGCCTCACAGGGATGTCTTCCTTCACAAGAGGCAAACTTGCAAAGGCACCCTTCCATTGTCACATGTGTTGTGGGAAGAGCTACTCTGTGTCGTCCATACCGTCCTCGGCCATCTCCGTGGACTACAGGCCCTTAAACGGGACGGTGTTTGCTCAAATCATGTTGTCTGTCCTGCTACCTAAGAATCGTGTCTCATCATGGTCATGCTCCTGATAATCTGAGTTATACAACGATCGACCCCAGCTAGCGCTTAAATATCCCAATTTTAGTTGCTGATCATGAGTGAGATGTTAAAATGAGAGTTTGACGGCTGGCGATGGCGACAATTGGATGATCCACCGTTATTTTGTGCAAGAGATGAAATCCTTCACATCAGAAAACAGGAGCCGCAAATGGCAACTTAAACACGTAACAGGAAAGCTAGGACTGCACGGTCATCATCTAAATGACAAGAGACATAATCGCGCGAAAGCAATTCAATTCTAACATGTATTTCTTGGGGAAATGTGCATCGTAAATCCAGGTGCCATCCATCGGTGGGCATTGCACATGGATAGAGCAGTTGCCCATTCAAGTTGGATAAGCCATAGGCAGTGCTTCAAACTAATTTTGGCTCTAATATAAGTATGAGAAATCTATTAGAGATGAGAATGTGTGAACCATGGAAGAAGAAACAATTTTGTCCCTTATGTATAATAAATCAAGTTACGTTTCATCAAGCAAACAAATGCGCTCAACCATCATGCTCCCAACACGTAGTTTGGTGGGCAGCTAAGAGTACAACAATTGCGAATTGGATGATTCCAAGCATTAAATACCACAGGTCGGATGGAAGTATATCCAAACTGAGTTGTGGCTAGTGTTTATTTATCAGAATAGATCTACGTCGAAAACTGCGAATTAGATTACAATAAAGAAACTTTGATTCATTCATCTGCTTTGTTCAGATCTATCACTATGTCTAATTGAACTTCTCTTCACCAGAAAAGTCCAAAACCATCGTGTTTTCAGCTACAGTCTTTGCATGATCCAGCAGGACGACCGAGGGCTGCGAGAACGACCTCCATGAATTTGGCTAACGCCAAACCCTAGACGGCACGGATCGGATGAAAAATAATTCAGATGGTGAGCTATCATTGACAAGAAATTTAGGTTAGTGAATGTGTTCCTTTCAGTAGACGAGGGATGGAGAGGCCTCGGTGGCAGCCAAATGCATTGCACAATAGGGTGGAGGGGACCTGGTACTGGAGAATGAAAGGTTGGTTTGTGGAAGAGGAAAACTCGCCATGGTCCCTTTGGTAAACGAGTCGAGCGTGGTGGGGAACATCCGACCCATGCAGTGGGGACAATGACAAGTGATCACCCCCTTTGGATGTGTCCTTCTAAACCCATCTCCTACCCTTTTGAGAGGTGGAATGGCACACATGAACCAGGGATGGGCAGCTATGGTCCAATATAGTGAGCTACAGGGATCAAGTCCATTGGAAATGAGTAGGATTTGGCTTCTGTGGAGGTTGGCTGGGGATGCATAATGGGTAAGTTCGAAGGCATTACCAGATCGATGTGTTCTTTCGTGGTGGTGAGTGGTTGCAGGTGAGTAATCATTGATCGGTTCCAGATGATCGGAAGCACGATAGTTTCTGATGACAAGCTTGCAGTCGATCGTGTCATAATAATGCTACTAGTTTAATTATTCTGGAACTATCAAGAGAATAGTTCAATTAAACTAGGCTATTTAAACTAGATAGATTATGACAAGTCATAAATAGGAATGCAGTCAGACTTATGAGAGCATAAAGTTAAATTACGATAGGAGCAGCAGATTAGTAGTAGTAGATGACTTAGAGTCCGATTTATTTTATTAATGAAGTCTTTAATTTTTTGAGTTATTATTTTATTATTTTATTAAATGTTTATCTTTTTTTAATATTTTTTTTTCAACAAAGTTGTATCAAAGTAGTGATATTTTTATTTGTGATGACAAGTAGTAGTATAGATAGGATCTTTGTTATTAACCTTCTCGATTTTTAGAGGAGATGACTATTTGACGTGAAGCATGAAAAATGATAACTTGATTTAGATATCAAAATTTTTTTTTGGTAAGTAAAAGTAAATTGATTATGTGTAAAGATTCTACAAATAGCTTTATCTATACAAGTCATAGACAAAGCCAATTAACTCATAGAGTGCGAATGCGATAGTTATGACTACACATGCTGTAGACTGTAACTACCTGTGGGTACATTATTTGACATCATTCCCAAGATCTTTAGCTAATAGTAAAATTAAATTTGATAAAAATATCTTTTTCTCTTCGGGTGAAATGCTCGATTTTGAGATCATGCTCCATACAGGATCTTGAGTCTCTAATAATCTCTTTCAAGAGCTGAGCATTGTTTGTGTGTTGACTTTCAAAGATTCTATTACATCTCTCCTTCCATATCCACCAAATAGCGCATCTGAAAGTAACCATTGCCAGTTGTGTAAGTGGCCCTTTTCTTGAGAAACATTGCATAAGGTCGCCTAGTTCTTGGTGCAAGTTTGGTTGCGGCAGTCTATTGAGTTCAAATCGCTGGAGAATCTCCTTCCATATCCATTTTGTATAATTACAAGCAAAATAAAGGTGGTCAACAGTTTCTTCTTGTTGCAAACAAAGGGAGCATCGGTTAACATGATAGATACCTCTTCTTTTCATATTGTCTATTGTAGGTAGTTTATTGAGAAGGGCCTGCCATGTACATAAGGAGTGTCTTTGTGATCCCGGTCGATCCCATGTCCAACTGCTTGGGACCCACTTGTTATTTCTTTGTCTAATTTGATTCCATAGATATCAAAATTTATGTGAGATGATTGAAGAATGATATAATATAACTAGTGATAAGGTATATTTTGGGTCCACGCCGCATCACGAGCGATGCCACGTAGCGTTGTAGCTAGGTAAGTAAGAGGGGCACCCTCACGCGTCGAGCTAAGGACTGTATCAAGGCGTGGCTCGACACGTCCCGTCCCGGAAAGCTCGGGACGGTGTCGCATGGTGCCATTCCATGCGTCCCGGAGTGGCGTGTTAGAACCCTTGCAGATTCTAAA